GTGTTTGGGGGGGGGGGGGGGGGGGGGGGGGGCATAACTCAGCCTCTCAAGGATGGGTTTATTGTGTGATCCACGTTGACAAAAAAATTTGTCAACGTGTGACTCTTGTGGTAGGTGATCGACGTTTGACAAAATTTTGTTAACATGTGACTGTTGATGGTTGACATAATTTTTTTTAACATATAGTTATTTTTGGACTGTCCATAGGAGTTGGGCTATTGAATTCTTTTGTACATCAATCTTTTGTTAATAAATTGATATTTCTTGATCATTCAGTATTAATTTGAAGAGGGATATCATTGAGATCAATAGATATCATGGAAATTGATGAAAATTGATGAAGATTATGACCAATGTTTTAAAAATCAGATCGGACCGACCAGTTCAATCGAGAAACCCACGAATCGTTCAAAATTCTGGTTCAGTTCATTCCCAAACCCCACTTTCTTGAAACCAGATAAAAAACCGGTCAATTGAACAATTTAATTGTTAACTCAGAAACCCGATGCCGATTTTAACCGGCTTTGGCAGTTTGTATTTAGTATAAAATTTAAACTTTTCACATCTCAGCCTATTATAATAGAAAGAGGCCCAAACACTAGCCATATCAAGTAATGACCCACCCTTTTATAGAGTGACTTTAGAGCATAATTATGTATATAATTAAGATGGCATAGACATTGTGTGATTAATTGGAAGTTGATCAATGGTAGCTGCAGGTCCTTGAACATTATAAAATATAAATGAAATAATTATTTTAAGTAGTTGTTCTGAAAATTAATAACCTCAGCTATTAATAAATTATCGCCGTATTAATTTAAAGAGGTTAGTCTGTAGATACAAAATTCAAATATGATGGATCTTAAGGTAAATTTCACTTTTGGAGGGAGATGTGCATTGAACACAACATTAAATACATATCAAATTATTGGAGATCACATAAATGTATGTGGGAATCCTGGCTAATAATATATACAGACAAGATTAATTAGTAGCAAAAGACGAGATTTTAATCAAACTAAACCTGCATTTCCCAATAACATAAGATAATAATCTGTGCAGGGATTCTTTATTTTAATAATTTGGTTACCCTCCCTCAGTTGGAAATCTTGAAATCTCCAAAATACCCCTAGTTTAAGCACCATAAAGTGGTATTAAAGGGGCAGTTCTGTCTTTTAGAACAGCTTATCATTCTTGCTGGTGCCTAGAGCATTGTCCAATAAAGTGATGTTAAAGATGGTCACACTAAGACAATGTTTGGATAAATTTAGAAGTAACTTGAAATTTTCTTTCAAAGTAACCTGCAGTCTCTGACTCTCTGTATGTCTTTATTTAAGACAAATTTCTTTAATTTTCATACTCATTTTCGATCACACATTCACATAATAAAATATTTTATACGTAAACTGATTTTTCCCCCATTTCTAAACTACACATTTTCTAAAAAATACGATGTGAAATATTATTTTTTCCAAAAATAATGGCCATCAAAGAACGACTAATTTCTCCGTGGATTCAAAAATGATAATAGAAAAACAATAATGCAGCCTATACAGACCACACACATTATAAGGGGGTGGGTAATTTTTTTTTTTTTAAATAATCCACCACCCCCTCACACAGCATGTGAGGGGACCTGTACAGATTAGGCATTTTTCATAGAAAAAAGTAGTATGCATCCTAATCGTAATCACTATATAACGAATATGAAAGAAAATGCTTCTTCATGAACCGCAAGGTGGAAGTCACCAACCCTAACTCCAAAATCATGTGAGCAATCATCCCTACTTGATTGTTTAGTCCTTCTCAGTGATAAGAGAAATGAATAATTCATGAAGAAATTACTTTAAAACTTGTTTATTTACTTATAAGTAAATTTTGATGCTAAGCGAAACATGGAATAATAAAAAATAAGTACACACCCAACATGGAGAACAACAGCATATGATAATCAGTCAAAGAAGCTAACTTTTTTAGTGGACATTAGCAGTGGCTTTTCAGCTCTCTGTCTCTCCATCCTCTGTGAGATTACACCCCACACCACTCCACCCCACCTACACGTAGAAATGAAAATAAAAGGAAAAGAAAAATTAAGGGCATGCATGATATTTTACTCTCTTTTTGTGCTTTTATATTTATCTTTACTGTTAGTGGGCTAGTCCTTATTATTTTTCCCCATCTACACTACTTTTCCTGATTCTCTGAGAAGGAGACAACTCTGAGTACTTGTTTTCAAGTCATATTGTGGCTTTTCTTTAGTAGTGGTGCTTTTGCATTTTTATTTTTTTGGAGGATATCTGGTGTGAAATGGCCAAATGCGCGGGCCTGTCTTCGGATGAGCTTTTGAGATCAAAAGATTGGAGAAAATGATTGATTTTGCTAGCAGTTTGTTGAGTTTTTCTTTTGCTTCACTTCTTGAGATCTAAAGGTGGGTATGGCTATTTTAATGGCAATTGAGCTTTTTCTTGGCTTGGAGTTCAAGTGTTTGCAAAAATGTCGCCTTTAATGATTTTTTCTTTTTAATTATTATATGGGCCATACTAGGCACTTAATAGAAGCATTAGAGATCTAGTTTTTCAATTCTTGGATCATATTGGATATTCAGAAGTAGATTTTTAGTTAAAAGTTCTAAATTTTTAGTTGGGTTCATGCATTTCTTGCCATTGTTGTATAAGATCCTTGAAATGCTTCAGAGTGTAGGAAAAACTGGATTTTAGCCTTATTTTATCTCAAGAAATGGGTATGATCTTCATTTGGTAGTAGATTTCAATTTTTTGTTAAAGAATAAATTAGAATTGTTCATTTTGGCTTTGGGTGCTTTTCAAAATGAAATTTTATTTTGTTCATCTTAAACAAAATTGAAGAAGATGAACAATTCTGAGTAGTGGCTAAAAGTATAAATTTTTGTTCAAGTGGAATATTTTCTGTCATCATATTACATTGAATTAATATTGGCGCCTGTAATTGCATGCTGATCTTGGTTATGCTTATATTTATTGTACTTGTGATCATGTTTTAGTTTATTGATAATGTTGTATTCACCAGCTTTTGATTTTTAAGTACTCTGTAACTACTTATGGGCGGCTTGGAGCAATATTGTAAACTCAACATTTTCATCTATTTAGTTCATAATTAATTTTGGAATCTCGTGATTTGACTTAGTATATCTATATTTTCTAGGCAGTGTATTAATCGATGATACTGGAGTGACTAATGGAGTTGGACTTCGACAAGTATTGTGTTGTAGAAGGAAGTCCCACAACAGTCCTACAGGCTCCTAGACCTCAGTCGAAAGTGGGAAATAGAAAATCAAATGGAAATCTCAAATGTGGAAATGATATACGGACTATCAACGAAAACTTTGCTGAGATTAGCTTTAATCGCTACCGTAGTGCATCTTGTAGAGATGTTCCACGTACAAGCGCCAAACGAGAAGGTAATGAGGTGCTGAGGAGGGGTTCGGTTTATCAAAGTTCTAGGGAAGTGAGGCTGAAGAAAAAAATAGTTCCTGTAGAGGGAAGGAAAAAAATTGAGCTCTCGCGAGGGAGTGCACCTATATTGCCATTTGGAATTATTGATTCCTTGTGTAGCTCAGATGAAGATAGTTTACCAGTTGACCGGAAAAGGTCCTCAGTAATGTCGCTAAACTCAGATCAAAGTACAGCATCTGTTAGCAATCCCTGTATAGAGTTGAGTTCTCGGAATTATTTAAATCATTCTTTCCGTCCTTGTCCAGGAAAAAGTTTCCCACCAAATGTTTCTTCTTTATGTTTGGATTATGGAGAAAACCAATCTGTTGTTGATGCAAATAGCCAGCCGGTTCAGGATCCCAAGACCACTTGTGAACCCGTGACTGGTCCTGTAAATGATGGAAACATCTTACGGTATAGAGATCAAGATGTCATTTATCACAAGTCATTATCAGAAAAATTGGCTTTATCGCATTTTCCTTCTCGATCAGAGAGTGATAGCTCGAGGGCCAGCAGTCCAAAAGTCCGGTTTAGTCCTGTTAGAAAGTTGTTCGATCCATTTGTTAAAGCCAAGTCTCAGAGAAGTCCGTTGAGTTCTGCTAATGAAGCTGGCCAGGAAACATTAACTGGGATAAAACCTAACAAAATATTGCTTGAATCCCTGCCGCAAGATTTAGCTGAAATACCAAACGATTTGGAATGCAATTCTTGGTGTCAAGAGAAAGAGAACTGTTCTTCAGTTTTGCAGTGTTCTCCAGCCCACCTACATGGCGTTCTCAAGTTGGAAAATAAACACGGAGTGCCATTTTTTAAGTTTTCAGTTAAGTCACCGGAAGATGTTTATGTGGCAAAGACATGGAAACCAGATAATGCTTTAACTTCGGTCTACACCTTCCATTCACTTCACCATAGAAGAAAGAATAATGCTAGTGGGTGGGGATTGAGAAATGACAACAAGGAATCGTCTGTGGTGGGACAGATGCAAGTTTCATGTTATCTATGTACCGAATTAAAAGGTGCTGGTTCTTTTGACAACTCTATGGTGACAGAATTCGTGTTGTATGACATCGCACATCCAACGAAAAGTATTTCCTCTCAAGATAATTCCAATTCATCCCTTGATGTTGCTAAAGCAGCCCGGGTTTCTGATGAAATTTTGTATTGTGGTAATCCTGAACTGGATGAGGTCTCTACTAGGAAGAAGACTAAACTTCAACTTAAGCATTCTCGTGACAGTGGTCACTTCAACTCATCAACTCCACTTCCTCTGCTGGCAGCAGAATTGCATCCGGAGCTTGAAATTGCAGCTATAATTATGCAAATTCCTTTTGCGAAGAGAGAGAGTCTGAAATTTAAGAGTCGGGATCGAGAGAATGATAAGCTGATTTCTCAGTTGCTTGTTGCTGGTGGGCTCAAGCAGCGAAAGGCAGGTATTTCTGATTCTGCGAGTCCTGGAAAAATGCACGTTGTGATTCCATCTGGAAACCACAGTTTGCCAAGTTGTGAAAGTCGAGGCCCTTCTCCATTACTAGATAGATGGAGGTTAGGTGGAGGATGCGATTGTGGTGGCTGGGACATGGCATGCCCTCTTAATATTTTCGACAATCCAAATATTCAAATTACTGAAGACCATCCCCCGGTGGACAATCAGCATCCATTGGAACTTTTTGTTCAGGTAATCGCCCTCAATCACGCGTTTCATGATCATTCATTATCTGATGGCAACTTTACTTTAGTCTCTCATGTTGAAGACATAATAAATAAGTTTTCCCCCTCTGTAACAGCTCAATCTTTTAGACGAGGTTGTTCGACATGCTATCAGAGCAGTCTCGCGCCCATTTATGAAAATTTGCACATGTAACATCTTTAATGAGAAAATGAATCTCAAGGGGCGTGTCCAGGACATAATTTTGAATTAATTGATTTGTCACCTTTTTAACAACTTGAGCTTTTAGATGAGGTGACTCAAGCACCGAGTTAACATGGATGCTTGGTGAACGGAAGGCCGATTACCAGCTTATGAATGTTAATGAATGATAATGTGATTTTATTTCATGTGCAGTTGGTAGGTATCAGCTTCTTAATCTATGCAGTTTTTGGGATCTAAAAAATTGGAAAGCCGTACATTAATTGATGTTGCCTGTTTTCTCTTTTAGTCTTGAAAAGATGTTTAACATCATTGCTGAAAGACAAACTCTCTGCAATTTACATTTAACTCAATAATTCTCACTTATGGAGTCTTTTGGAAATTCTCAAAGCCATAAAGTACCATGAAGAAGATGAACAGGAACTTAGATACCAAATATTGGAAATTTGTTCAAAATGTAACTGCTGCCTTGTCTTTACTCGTGTCTTAATAAATTTTCGACATCTGTCTGTGTACAGGGTCGAAAAGAGAATACACCGGCATTGACCATGAAGGCAACTGAAGATGGAGACTACGCCATTGATTTTCACGCTCAGTTATCTTCGTTACAAGCGTTCTCCATCTGTGTTGCTATTTTGCATACAGCAGAAGTCTCCACCTCCTCCGGGAAGGAGAGAAACAAACAAGCGTTGCAATGCGATTCCACGAGGGTGTTCGCCGAGGAGGAAATCAAAGGTTTGATGGATGCAATAGCAGACGACGAGAAATGCGAAGTTAACAAGAAAATGGAAGAAGTTTTGCCATCTTTTGTACTCGATCCACCCTTCTCTCCAATTGCTCGAGTATAGTAGCTCATTGAGCAAGTCGAGATCAACGCTAAATTCAGGCAAGTTCTTTACCAGGGCTGCTTTAAATACAGGGATCGTTGCGTTGGAGACGGGAAAACTATTTTTTTCTTGGTATATTCAGTGTGTGTGTGTGGGTTTTTTTTTTTTTTTTTTTACTACCAAAAATTTGAATAAAAACTATACTGCTTATATAGTTAGGTTGATAGGGACTAGGGAGGGAATAGTGGCCAGTTAATTAGTAAGAAGTACTAGGTTCTTCCAGGTATTTTGTAATGTAATTTATGTTAGCGTTTGTAAAATGCTGTTGATAATAATTTAGGGAAATCTGAATATGTTAATGAACTCTAAGGCACGAAATGAAACGTTATCTTTTAAGAGATGTTTCTCCCCTAGTCAACAAAGTCACAACGGGGTATAATAGAAAATCTCTCTCAGAATACAATGGAGGTGTTTGATTCAAATTGTGACTATTTGATCAAACCAAGAAAACACTCGAATAAAATTGATTGATGCGAAGAGAGAAGGAAAAATAAATTGTTTAATATGTTTGCAAATGAGAATTCGTCCAAAATTTATAGACACTGATGCAACTGTTTGAATAGGTGTATCCCTTGAAAGTGACTGTTAAAAATGAACAGATGCACTTATTCAAAAAACTTTTGAATAGGTCGAATCCCGTTGCGAAACGACAAACACTAATTCGGGCGGCAAATCATTCGCAAAACAAAAAATTGAACACATGCAAAATGATGAAAAATATCTAACAAATGCTAGGGAGTCATTTTGGACACTTTTATATTGCTCATTGTACCTTCTCAATAAAATTGAATATATTAT